ACAGGAAACTTCCAGGCAGGGCTAGAGGGTATAAAAAGACCCTCTGCCCATGTGCTCACTCTCTTTCCTCTCCTCTGCTGCTTCTTGCAAGACCATCTGTCTTCTGCAATAAACTGTAACCTTCTTCCCAAAGCAGTTGCCATGTTTGCTTATTTATTCCCGGCTTGGATGAACCAGGATGAAGACTTACTTCTAACACCAGCTTCTGGGAATACAGTGATTTTTTTTTGTGTGTAGTATAAGCTTTCTCTGCAAGTCGGATTGAGACATAGAGGTAAGGGGGAATCATAGACACATGTATCTAAGTATAGGAAAGTGATATAAAGAACCTTGGTTTTAACTTTTCTGATCTCTGCAAATATGGCACATTGAAGGCCAAGGGAAACTGATAGAAATCCTTTTATATGAATGTATTTCCTTAACATGCCAATCTTCTTACTAAGGCTATGTTAATTTACAAGCAGAATACAATATGTTGCTGTTGTAAACAAGTTTGTATCTATTTGTCATATTAAAATGTTTCAGTAGATGGTAGCATTTGACCAAACTTTTCTGGGCTCACCTATTCAGCAGGGTCTGGAATGGTTCATACTTGGCTGGGAAGTTTTCAGTAGGCTAGAGCAGAGGTCCCCAGGCCGTGTGAGTAGCTGGGCAGTGCACACACGTGTGTGCGTGTGCTCACCCCCCCCTGTGCCACCGTTGCCACGAGTTGCATGAGTGGCAGCAGCGCCGCTAGTATTGCGTGGGCGGCAGTGTTGCTACGAACCTTGTGCGGATGGTGGCAGCACCGTGAGCGGCAGGTGGGCAGCAGCACACCACATGCAGGCGGCATTGCCACGGACCTTGTGCAGGCCGCGGCAGCACAAGCAGCAGGTGGGCCGCTGTGCAAGCCTTGTGTGGGGGTGGTGGCAACGCGATCCTCGCGCCGGTGGTGGCATCGCTGCGAGCCTGGTGGTGGCGCCCCAAGCCTCACACAGGTGCCGGTGTCGCTGAGAGCCTCGTGCGCATGCTCGCAGCCCCGTTTGCGTGGTGCGCATGCTCACGGCCTGTTTGTGCATGTGCATGCACGTGTGGGCACATTCATGTTTGCGCATATGTGCGTAAGTCTCCTGTCCCTCCCTCTCCCACCGGGCTGCCAACCCAGAAAGGTTGGGGACCCCTGGGCTAGAGTGAGAAGTTTAAAATGCATTCTGGAAGAAAGTAATAGCAAACTACAGGTAGTCTTCAACTAATGACCATAATTGGGACCAGAATTTCTGTCGCTAAGCAATGCAGTCATAAAGCATGACATTACATAACTGCATCACTTAGCAATTGCAATCTCGGCAGTCCCTATTGTGAATTCCACAGGTCATTAGCCAAGGACTCGCCTCAATCTAAGTAATTCCAGGCTTTGTCCATCCCAGCTCCGGGCCTTGGTTCTTCCAAGGGAAGGGACTGCCTTCCCTTCAACTTCCCGCAACTGCCTATTCCCCCATGTCTCCCCTTCTGGCTGCCCTGCAACCCTGCCTTATGGGGTAACAAGCAGCCCCAGAACCACATGGCTCTGGGGCTGCTTGCCATGCTGCAGCTCAGGGGTTTCTTGGTGCACTGTGGCCCTGGGGCTGCAAGAAGCCCCTAAGCTGCCTCAGCCTCACCAGTCAGGCCCAGAACAGCCTCTGTGCCCCAGGAAGCCCTAACAGTGTGGTACAAAGTGGCCACACCTTAGGCAGCCCCAGCTCAGTCCCAGCCACCCTTTCCATCCTGCATTCCAAGGCTCATGCTGCCCTGCACTCTGTTGCCCCAGCTGACCTTTGTCATCTTCTTGCTCCTGTTGCTGACAAGGTATGCCTGTCCTGGCCCTTTTCAAGGCAGTTGCTGGTCACATGAGGTCATCTTCTCCAGGTCTTGCAAGGAAACTGCCATGCGCAACCTTGGGAAGAAAGCCTTGTGTGGCCAGCAGCCACCTCACAAATGGCCAGGTCAAGCATGCTTGGTTAGGAGAAGGAGAAAGAAGAAGTGAAGGCCAGCTAGGATGACAGGGGCCGTGAAATGCAGGGGGCCAAAAGGGCAGAGATGAGGGGGAAATAGGTGAGTGGGGGGAGTTGAGGTATCCCTGCGATCATAAGTATGGGTGGGCTGCTGAGCACCCAAATTTTGATCATGTGACTGTGGGAGCACTGCAATTGCTGTAACTTTAGCGACAGGTCGTAAGTCCCTTCGTTCGGCACTGCTGTAACATTGAACAGTTGCTGAAAGAATGGTCATAAGTTGAGGACAACCTGCATTTTTATTTTCATCAGGAACTTTGCTCAGTTCAGGGCATATTAACATTTAAAAATTTAGCAATTTAACTCTATTGTTTTAGGATTTTTTATGATTTTGCAAGCATGACAGATTGAATGTAAGATTGCGGTCTTTTACACAATTTACATCAAGCAGGGACTATGATTCTAAGATCCCCCCTCCCCCAAAAAAGCTGCATCTCTGAATTGGATGGTTTCTGAACCCACAGCCACTGACTTGCTAGGATTGAACCTAAGCCTGTTCTTCAATAGTAATCATTTTTAATGTTCAGGTGAGGTTGTAGAATATGATTCATACATGCTGAAGGTTCTGCTGATGTAGTGTAAATACGTAATGTCTGTTTCTTCATTTTCATACACAGGTCCGCTATAAGGAGGAATTTGAAAAGAATAAAGGGAAGGGCTTTAGTGTGGTGGCTGACACACCTGAATTACAGCGAATCAAGAAAACTCAAGATCAAATCAGCAATGTAAGCTGCCCAGCACATTTCATTTTCTGTCTCCATACTGTATTTATATATTTAAAAGATATGTTTAAAAGTTTTTCCTTTGACAGATTCATCTGTTCCTTTTCCTAAACATCTTGGTTTCAGATTCTGTAATTTTGCTATTAAGGCAGTTATCTCAGGAAAAAATGGCATCTTGTGAGGGTTTGGAAAGACTCAGGGAGAATTGTGACCATCCAACCGACAGTGGGCACAACAGTTGGGGCTACATAACAGGGTGGATTAAGAACCAAAGTGTGAGAGTCTGTTCCTAGGGTGAGAGCAGCTAGCGTGTGTGTGGAGTGGTTTGTAGCCTAGAGTGAGAGCCGGATGGAGGGTTTTGGTTGAGTGGGCCTTTCCTTCCAACTAGCCAGTGAGAGGGACTGGTCTGGGAGGAAGGATAGTGTGTTTGTGAAGGGGGTTGGAGACAGGGGAGCCCCTGGCACTGAGAGCTTAAGCTGTAGCGCCATGGGGGCTTCCTTCCTCATTGATCGCCCCAGGATGTGTGAGAGGATGAATGGGACTGGCTGGAGGGGGATGGCAGAGCCTTTTGCTCTTCAAGGAAGGAGACTGGTTGCCTTGGGGGGAAGGAGACTGATTGCCTTGGGGGATGTAGGGCAGGACAGTGCATCATAGTGGTGACGGGTATGGGATGCTATGGGAGCCAGAGGGCAGGCCATTACAGGGGAAGATGCCCTCAATGCGTATTATCAGTGGTGTGTTCCACCCCCCGAGCTCATCCCCAGTTCCTGGACAGCATATCATTGGAGGTTCTGCTGCTGCTGCTGAATGCCAGTTAATAGTAAGGCTCTCCTTTTTCAAGATCTTATTGAGGAGGAACGAGCTGACTTGGCTGACTCTGGAAGGGGGGGTTCCCCTCTCAGAGATGTGTTCAGTTGGCTTTGGACAGGATTACGCCTATGTGGCTTCTCTTGACCTATCGTTCCCAACCCTCCCCATGGTTCATGGAGGAGTTGCGGGTTTTGAAAAGGGTCAAGAGACACCTAGTGCACTGCTGGAAGAAGACAAAGGATGACACTGACCAGACATGACTTAGAGCCACCATTAAGGCCTATCTCGTGGCAGTAACAGCAGCGAAACAACATTATTTCTCTGCTCTTATTGCGTCCTCAGAGTGTCACCCCGCGGCCCTGTTCTGCATCACCCAATCCCTCCTGAGTCAGGGAAGGTGATCGTCTTCAGGGCCGTGCACAAGAGTTTGTTCAGCACCTGATGGACAAAGTCGCTCGAATTCATTCCCAGTTGGATTCCATGTGTGGAGATTGTCCATGTGAGATGCCTGGGGAGAGGTCTGGCCTGATTATCTGGGAATGGTTTGACCCTGTTGAACCTGAGGAAGCGGATAGGGTCCTCGATGCTGTTAGTGCCACCACCTGTCAGTTAGATCCTTGTCCCTCCTGGATGGTGAAAGCCTTCAGGACAGTGACTAGCAGGTGGGTCCAGGCAGTGATTAACACGCCACTAGATGAGGGAACATTTCTGGGGCCTTTTAAGGAGGCCCTGGTTTGCCCCCTTCTTAAAAAAACATCACTGGATCCCACCTGCCTGGACAACTTTTGTCCAGTTTCCAACCTCCCCTTTTTAGGGAAAGTTGTGGAAAAGGTGGTGGCCTGGCAACTTCAGAGGGTCCTGGATGAAATGGATTATCTGAACCCCTTCCAGTCAGGATTCAGGCCTGGTTATGGGAGAGAAACGGCATTGGTCACACCTGTTGATCTCTGGCGAGAGTGAGATGGGGGTTATGTAACCCTCACTCTCAACCTCTCAGTGGCCTTCAATACCATCAACCATGGTTTCCTTTTGGGCTGGCTACGGGGGCTGGGCAGCACTCTCCTGTGCTGGTTCGACTCCTTTCTCCATGGCCAGTCCCAATCAGTGTTAAAACGGAATGAGAGGTCCAGCCCTTTTCCGTGAGCTGCATTGGCTGCTGGTCTGCTTCTGGGTGCAATTCAAGGTATTGGCAATTACCTTTAAAGCCCTTCATGGCATGGGTCCAGGGTACTTGAGGGACTGTGTCATCCCACTGGGGTAGTGCCACCCCATCCAGAATTAAAAATGAAAAGTCCCGGATCTTGAGGCCCCATGCACCCAAAGCCGCCCCACCCGTGCCAGCAGAGGAGGCATGCTGTGAGCCCGTCAGCCTGATTATTCTGACTGGTGGGGTCTAGGAGAAGGGCCTTCTCTGCCATTGCACCTGCCCTCTGGAGCATCTTGCTCCCCGGAGTGAGGTTGGCTCCAACCCTCCTGACCTTCCGTAAGAGCCTAAAGACCTGACTCTGCCAATTAGGTTGGGGTTCCAGTGGGGGACCATCACAGTGAAGGTGGTTGATAGATTAACAACAGATCCCACTCCCCCCCATCCTGCTCCTGCCCTCCCCATCTTTTAATTGGGCCGCAGTGTTTGGCTTTTTGTATTAACTTATTTATGTTTTTTAGTTTACTGTATATAGTTTTTATCTTTTATGATTGTAAGCTGCTCAGAGTTACCTTTATGTAAGATAGGGGGCAATAAAGTTTACAAATAAATCTTTAAAATGTGAAATTTTCTGTAAACTTAGCAGTTCAAAGTGAGAGTGCTTTTTATGTTGGTTTTTTTCAAAAGAGGAGGAAATGTGAACTATTGCAAAGTACTTATCCTGGTAATGTACCAGTAAGTATGAACCCATCTTTGGATCACAAATATTGTCTTTTCTTTAATATGTATATTTGGTTAGACTTGGTAAGAACTTGGATTTTTGGTGTACTCATGTTGTACATGTTTGAGACAGTTGGTGACAAGAAACCTGAATGAAATACCACTATCTATATTGTTATGTTATACTATCTCTCTTTGCATATTAGGTACAGGAAACTTACTTCTCTCATGAGCCAACTGAACAGTACTGGCTCTGCCCTCCTATGTACATGATGTCTGGAAATTAACAAATGCCAGCACATCTTTCTATTGTAAAAGACTGTCTATTCTTATCTTCTTAAATTGTTTTTCCTTGACTGTAGCTTTACTCAGACATTTTCAGCAACTACCTGATGGATATAGTTTGTAAAATTGTGAGCCTATTCTTTTCAGCACCTCAGCACCTCAGTTGATTAAAGCAATGATGGTATAGTATAGGACAGCCATATCGTACTTTGCCATTTCTTGGATAGCATCAAGGATTAAGTACAGGAACTCTGAAGTCTTTACTCTCACACAAGTTCTGAATGTAATGTGGGTAGGAAATGATGATACAATGAGCATCAGAGCTAGATTGCAGCTTTTTAAATATCCAAGCTCTATACTCCACTGCAGCACAATAACCCTTGTTCATTTTTTATTATTATTTATAGTAGTAGTTTAGTGAAACCTTCTGTGATGTCAGAGAAAATTTTTCAGGTTCTTTAAAACTGGTGAAAGTACATGTTAATATGATCAAACATCTAAGCTTATTTTATATCAAGTTACAGAATTTGGTCAGTCATCCTACTAGTCAGTAAGTTTTAGTCCTATTATAGGTAGTCCTTGACTTACAACAGTTCATTTAGTGACCGTTCAAGTTACAACAGCACTGAAAAAAGTGACTTATGACCGATTTTCACACTTATGACTGTTGCAGCATCCCATGGTCACATGATCAAAATTTGGATGCTTGGCAACTGGCATGTATTTATGATGGTTGCCGTGTCCTGGGGTCACATGATCACCTTTTGCAACCTTCTGACAAGCAAAGTCAGTGGGGAAGCCAGATTCACTTAACAATCATGTTACTAACACATGCAGTAATTCACTTAACAACTGTTGCGAAAAAGGTCATAAAACTAAGTTAACAAATGTTTCACTTAGCAACAGAAATTTTGGGCTCAGTTGTAGTTGTAAGTTGAGGACTACCTGTATCAGGAAATGTATTAGTCAGGAAATGTACATAGTATGTGCAACTTAATGAAGACCAACTGAGACTTTTTTAAAGTTAAAATTTAACCAGTCTCCCTCCTTCATTTCTCTCCTTTGTGTGTGTGTGTGTATGTGTGTGTGTACAAATGCAAATACTTGTTGATTAAATTGAGGATAGGTACTTCCATGGAACAAATTGCTCAAATAAAGGTGAGGAAATTCATACACAAACTCATGCAAGTAGAGTAAAGAACATGGAATAGAACAGAACAGGTGTGAATAAAGTTTCAGTAGAGTAGTTGAAAACAGTGTTCTGTGATTTCTTAATATCCTCTCTGTATAATCATAACTGCAAATTATTTTGTCTTCAACTCTTGACTGAACTGCTCTTAATTTGCTGTGGCCAGTAGGACTTGTAGATGCCTTGTAGAATAAATTGAATCCCTTGGGGAGTTGCTTCCCAGGCCCTCTGATCCATGGTCTATTTTTGCCAGACATGATTCGAAGTTTTAAAGCCGTCCTATAGCCGTCCTTGTTAAAGGCACAAGGACCAAACCCCTGTTGATAAAATAGGCTGGAGACTTAAACAAAACAAACCCCTTTTAATATGGGTGACAAACCTGACAAATAGTCCAGAAACAAAAAGCAGCAAAACACCATCCAAATGGAGGAAATAGTCCACATGAAACACGATGCAAACAGAAGAGTAGTCACAGGCAAGACGAACAGAACAGGATCCCATGAAGTACTTTGCAACGGTTGCCTTCAGCAACCAGCACCGCCCACACCTCCTCTTTTTATACAGCAGTCCCAAGTCGTTGCCTCTCAGTGCCTTCTCCTTTTTCCCTGGAGTTGTCGTATTGACTGCTGCTGATTTACTCTCGCTAATTGCCGGTGTGTGCGAACATCAATTAGCATGTTCATCAGGTGTGAGTCCTCCGAGTCTGACTCATTCTCCTCACACAGCTGAGCTTCATCAGGAACACGACTGGAGGGCCCAGGCTCTTCATCAAACCGTGAGTCTTGTAATTCATCAGAGCCTCCCTCTGACCCTGATGGCCCTTCAAATGCCTCCTCCACCACCTCCTCAGATTCC